ACACACACACACACACACATATATATATATATATACACACACACACACACACACACATCTAATTCTGTTTATCGGTCTGATTCTTCATCAATTCCCTTTTTGCATTCCTATCAATTTTTTGTGAGAAAAAAAAGTAGGCCTACACAAGTTTTCAGTGTCAACGCAACTATTCTATTATCTCAGAATCTGATCACAGAGTAGCTGTGTGGTGCTCATGTTATTACACCCTCAGTAACGGATGTGTGGCTTCGTTGGGAAGCAGGTGTAAAGTATCAGATACATCACATTCCTGGAATTTAGTTCAAGTTGCCTAAAAAGATGTTTTGGCATACTGCTGGTGTTTCCACCCTTACTTATAATTATCATTTTACAGACATTACAAACAGCACTGCTGTCATCTTTCTTTGTGAAATGAAGCCACACTTTGGACTGTTTCTTCCTCTCTTCCATCACTCCATCTTGTTAACAAGTTTTCAGCAGTGTAGACGCTCGAGTTTGACTTCACTGTTTGTGCAAGTGTCAGAAGAACATGCCAACACCGATAAAAGGCACTGATAAGTTTAGAGGCATACGATTCCAATGGATCAGACAACGGGAACCGGTTCTTATGATTCATTTTTAATGATGTATTTTTATCTATTTCTGACACAGCAAAAGTAGTTTTTCATGTTTGTAGTAAGTTACAGCCAAATTCACAATGTAGTTGATCTTGTTAACATACAGTACATCTTTCCACTTCTGTTGTCAGATAACAATACAGGAAGTAAATCTGATCACAGCTCATAAATAATATGTTGAACAGCGGTCATTATCAAGCTGCTGAGCTGCAGGTAAAATCATTACTTTTCAATCTCAACACCGTCAGATGAAATAAATCTGTGCTGTGAGATCGGTTATATTGACGTTTAAAATGAGTGATCACAGAAACATCAGCATCTGTTACCACATCTAAATGAGCTGCCAACATGTGTTTGTGCTTGTAAAACACAAAAGATGCAGCAAAACCCCTCCAAACTGTATCATAAATGTGGCTGCTGAAGAACAGATAGTCTGCTTCTGAAATGTTTTTCCTGTGCACATTAAAGTCATAACGCAGTCACTTTCAATTTTTGAGAACATTCAGCTCTTATTTTTATTTTGGAGTTTGAATGCACTTATTGTGAGTCACTTTAGACAAAAAGCGTCTGCTAAATGAACGCAATGTACCGAGTGCAATAAGGGCCTGATTCAACAAAATTGGAAAAACTAATTGAAGTTAAAATTAGACACACACACTGGCTCTCCTCACCTGCATGCACTGGAAAAGCAGCGTCATGATGTTACTGCGGGCCACAAGTGTGTCCACGTGGCCCCCCAGTCCCTCAGCTAAGCCACTTAAAAGATCCAGAGCCACGATCATGAAGTCCTTGTCGGGTGCTTCATACTGGTCTGGCTGCTGACTGTACATCTGAAACACAAACAGAAGGGAATGTGGAGAAAAGATTAGAAGTGGGACTACGGGATGAAAGTGTTATTTATGTAAAGCAGCAAAAATATAAACTGCCTCTGTCAAGTCTGTGTTTATGGGAGTGAGTGTGTGTGGCTCACCATGGCCTGAGCCAGTGTCTTCTGAACCAGGGTGACACAGCGTTGATAGACGGGCTCGCAATAGGGGAGGAAGCCACTCTGCAGCGCCGTGGCAACAGACGACAGACACTCAAGCAGAGGGAAGAGATCTTTGTCTTCGTCCTTCAGCTCATTCCACTTGGCTATCAGCGGAGGCATCAGTTTCTGTATGTACTCCTGAAAACAAAAGCGTGTGGTTGTGGCCCGTCATTCATGTGTTCATTTACCACTCATTTTAACATGTCACACACAAAACAAGGCCGTGTAAATCTGTGCATTTTGTGCTCACAGGCTGGTTGAGATGGTGCCCCACAGAGTCCGCCAGTGTTCCTATAGCATCGTAGAGGATGAGCAAGTTCTTGTGTTGGTACTTCCCAAAAGCAAAAACCAGCGTGTCCAGGATGAAGCTCAGGTAAGGCACCAGCTCTGTACACGCCTCCTCTTCCAGGGTGGCAAATGCACTGTAGGAGAGACGAGATGGGTTAGATGGACGGATGAGCTAAAAGTGAAAATACAGGAGTGTGAAAGAAAAACTGTACCTGCATGCTGCTTCCTGTACCCTCTTATTGCCGTCCAGAATGCGTTTGAGCAACTCAGTCATGAGGGGTTTGAGGTGAGCGTCAGGAGGCTGGCTGACCACCCAGTGGGCGTAACGGCTGAGTGTCCAGCAGGCGATAGAGCGCACCAGGGCCTTTTTGTCGCACAAACACTGGATGAGGTGGGGGATGAGCTCAGGCAAGTACGGTACCATGCCTTGCATACAGCCTGGAAAAACAAAATGGTTTTTTACGTCTTAAAAGCAAAAGTGCAACATTTTGGAAAATGTGTTTATTCGCTTTCCTGTCAAGAGTTAGATGAGCAGATGGATACCAATCTCATGTCTGCATGTGAAACATGAAGCTACAACCAGCAGCTGGTGAGCTTAGCTTAGTATTAAGACTGGAAACTGGGGCAAACAGCTAGCCTGGCTCTGTCCAAAGGAAACAAAATCCAACAACCAGCAACTATAAAGCTTTTTATTCAACACTGTTGTAAAAATGAGAGAAGGTCTGTTCTTCATCTCTGGTTATATAAAAGATCAAGACATTCACAAGGTATTAAAAGAAGATATTACACTTATTGTCCAATAAATCTTTCCTTTAATGTCTCTCCATAGTTACTGTCAGTGGAAAATCTGAACTTAACAATCTAAATAGTGAAAAGTAAACCTATTTGACTTATATATATTTCAATAGTAAGTCTGTGCCATGTCATACCCTCAGCGATGGCTCCCAGCACGAGGATGCCAGACTCCTTGATGACCCAGTCAGGGTGGAAAAGCAGTCCTTTGAGCAGGGGCAGGAGATGGGGCAGCAGCTCCTCACGAAACACATTGGCAAGAACGTCCAGAGCCGCGGCCGAACACTTCCCTGAAGGAGGGAAGCATCATTAGCTAATATAATCTTTAAACATTAAGCCTTTGCTCCAAAAATAATGTCAAAGGTCATTGAATGCCCTTTAAGAGCAGAAACTGCGACGATCACTAAAGCTGCATGTCAGTCCTGTAGCTTACGTAGGTTCCAGTCAGACAGCGTATCGTCGTCGTCATCTTCGTCTTCATCAATGTCCTCCCCCTCCTCGCCCTCCCCTCCTTCATGCTGCAGGGTGACGGTGCGGGACTTGTGGAAGCGAGGCTTGATGTCTTGCTCGCTGTCTGGAACTGCCTCATCCTCTTCAACATCACCCTGGAGGACAACAGAGAGAAAGGTGAATGCAGAATGGACACTGGTAAAAAAAAAAAAAAAAAAAAAAAAATTAAAAGAAAAAAGGAAGAGACGACAAGAAATATGAGAAGCTGGGAACATTTGATTTATCAAGAGGTGGCTCACCTTTAGAAGAATAATGTCAATCTCAGAGTATTTCATCCCATTCACCAGGATAGGGATCAGTCTGGAAAAAAAGGAGACATCTGCATTACTTCTCAGATGAAATTCATACAACTCTTTATTTTCACTTCCTTGTCATTAAGTTAACCCCGTCCAATGAACTGTTTGCATGTGAGCACTTACTGGACCAAGTGGCCAGACAGGGCCTCTTTGCAGATGGGCTGTTCAGCCAAAGTCAGCCAGAACTCGCAGGCCTCCAGAGCCACGTTCTCATCTGGGTCCTGGGTCCGCTGCAGCATGTACTGGTGACAGATAACGATAAGATAAGAGGTGATGAGGGGGGGGGAGGAGGAGAAGAAGGAGGAGGGGAAAGCTACATGGTCTCTGCTCAAAGTAGTGTGTGAGATGAAGTCCCATCCTCACCTGGATGATGCTGTGCATGTGTGGGATGAGGCGGTCGATGCGGACTTCCAGCAGCATGACCAAAGCCCTGCAGACGTTCTTGCGCACTTCACTGTCCTCATCACCCGCCAGTGCAAAAAGACTCTGGATATGAAAGAGACGAGGAGAGAAAGGGGATGGGTGGCACAGAGAGAAGGGAGCGATGAGCAGGCCAGGCCAAGAAATGTGGGGGAAGACAGAGAAATGTGGGAAATGCAAGTGAACAGAGGCAACGTTCAAACATGCACTTGAATCTGTGACTTAAAAGGACCAGAACAGGGTTTCAGGGTCTCGTCCCACATGCCACTGTGTCGTCACAGACATTAATGATATGAAATCTAGCTGGTCAATACAAATAAAATGGGTGTCCATCTGGTTGGATGAAACTATAAAGTGATGCTTTATATGCTGCACCTCCATCACGCACTGCAGGAGCTACAGTACATTTGTAAAGATGGCTGGAGTTATATCCAAAATAAGAAGACTGATTTCCTTTAGCACATCAATGAGATAAAGTAACAGTTCAGCAGCAGGTTACTGTAAACAATATCTCATTTTCTTACATTACAGACAAATTCCTGCATTGCCTCATCTCAAGTAGCAGATGCCAAATATCACATAAATGCTGCAGCTTTATCCGTGACAGGACTATTATAGATACATCTGCATAAAGTTAAAAATAATGGAACTTATAAAAACAAAGAGTTTGAAAGTAAAACACGTAACCAGGGACAGCCTGAAGGGTATGAAAATCAGTATCAAAGCACATGGCATGCTTCAGAAAATGGTCTGTCATATTGTTACTTACAGTCAATTTGTAGTTAGTTAAAGGTATACTATGAAGGATTTTCCTACAAAACAATGTATAGACTCATACAGAATTCATCTCTCTCAGTCATCACTTATGACCCACTAGAAGCTTGTTGCAGTCTTCTTATTTTTCTGTGTTTGACATGTTTAGGGGCTCCCACCTTTGGGTAGTGGTGTGTATTGTCCAGCTAATAAAATCACGCAGGTGAAGTCAGGACTTTATTATAGCAAACAGGTTGACGCAGCACACATCCAAGAAGTTACAAAAATCATACACACAGCACCAAAAAACCCCGCAAATATAGCAGGGCAATACTTTAAGCGGACAAAGCAAGGGGGAATCTGGTGGGCGAGTATTTAATAAAGGGACAGTGAGGAGGACTGATGCAGGGTTGGCCTGTTTTCTGTTGGGCAGGTAGGTTCTGGCGGTCAGCTTAGTTAGCCGACAAAAGTATTGGCTTTTCTGTTACGACAAATGTTCCTACGATGGTAGGGTAGCTTGCAGTATACATACAATCAATGTAGGAAGGAGGGGCCAAGTTTGGATGTTGTGTAAGTGACAATTCCTGCAAAGTGTACCTTTCACAGACAGATCCATTGTTACATACTCCATCTCTGAAAGGAGCTAAAGGAGAGTAACTGAAGTTTGCAAACAATGGAGGTTAAACCAAGACATAATCCTGTAGTGCTCACCTCAATGAAGGTGTCAATGTTATCCATGAGAGCCTGAGCTCGACCAATGATGAACTGGTTCACACACGCTATAGCATGGGACCTGTAAAAGAGACAAACAAGTGGGATCTATAATGATGATTCTTGCAGGGAGACAAAGTGGAAAGTCTGAGCCACAGAGACACAGTTCCAGTAGACACAGTCAGGAAGCAAAAAACTGACGTTCCACTGACCTGATCTTGGGGCTGCAGTGCTTGAAAAACTGTAGGAATTTTGGGATCATGATGTTGAGGGGTCTGTTCAGAGCATCACTATCCAGCAACTCTGAGGAGTCCTCACAGATCTTCTGCAACGCTCCGAAAGAACCCTGAAAGGTGGGAAAAAAATCCATGAAGCAAAAATGCTACAAACAAAGGTAACAGATATAAATCTGATTAACGCATTAACATTGCAAAGCCATTAGTGTGTGCGGGCAGGTGAGTCTGACCTCGCAGGTGTTATAGTCCTCTGAGTTGAGCAGATTACAGAGCTGAGGCAGGAGTTCCGGCCAGGTCTGCAGCTCCCCTTTAGAGGCTATGGTCGTGATCAGGATGCCTTTATGACAGATTATTAAACAAGAGTTACACAAGAATAAATCAGGCTTTAGAATAAGTTACTGATAACTTAACTCACTGTCGCATTCAGTCATTCAAAACATCTTGAAAATGCAGCCCTCGCTCCCACATAGCCACATTACCTGCAAAAATCCAGCCACCTACATAGTAGTCTGACTCACACTGGCTAGGAAATGCAGCCAACACTGGCCTTCTCTTTCTCCATCTTCTCTTTCTCACACAAACACCCACCAATCGTAGCTCTGATGAGCGGTGAAGGGTCTCCGATGTTGTTGAGGCATTCTCGTTTGATGAAGTCAGCCACGTTGGGAGGGAAGTTCTGGTAGTGAGCCTTAACATTGTTCTTCAGTATCAGACCGCTCAGAGAGCGAGTGGGCTCGTCTTGAGAGGGAAGGCAGCGGAGAGGAAGAGCATAAAGAACATTTTTAAGAACGGGAAAGAGGAGGTTCGATACAGAAATGTTTGCAGGGGATAAGCGAGGTTATTCAGTAAATGAAACCTCTGTTCTACTGTTAGAACCTTCATGTTTACGTGCATATACATACCCTCGGATTTGAGGCTTGTGAGGACAAAGATGAGATAGTTGTTGAAATCTGGAAACTGGTTTAACTGCTCCAGTTTCTACAGGCTCTGTAAAGGAGTTTAACCACCCGTGCACATGTAGCAAAAGCTTACACATCCTCGCATATCTTGTGTGCCTGTTTGACATTTGGGCAGCATGGACAGGCATACAATCACAATCAGTCACATCAGTTCACTTGATGCGAGCCGTGCATGACAACACACCCAATCAGTTTTCATTTTCACCCACAAGCTAAAGCTAAATCTCACACCTTGTTCTCTCACCCTCACGATCACATACACGCAGACATAAGGATACTTCTTGCACAGCTCTCTGCGTTGCTGTGTCTGGGGACTGGGAGTCCTTGAGTAGCTGAAGCACTTGCTGCAGACCCTGTTCATCTGGCTGCCACTCCATCCTACAGGACACAAACACACACATTACCTGTCTCTGAAGCATGCATCGCACATACTTCTCACAGCCAGCTGGCCCCACCTGTGACCCCAGCACTGCGTACGTTACTACTCAAGTCACGTAGAAGTAACGTTAGCTACGCAGTAACGAATACAGAACAAGCAGCACGCGCTGGCTGCCGTTATTTGTAACAAAACACTGTGAAACACATTCGTTAGCCGTTAACCTCACCATCTTACTTAAAATTAAAATACTACACTCATTGTGAATAATTATCCACTGTGTAGCACTGCCGTGACAGCGCTCATGTTTACAGACATTTTCCGTTTCTGGATTCATGAAACCGCAAAGTACCACAAAGCGGTCGCTAATTACTTAGTAAGTAACAGTTGCATTGATAAGCAGCCACACCAACTATTAGTCGCGAGCCAAACAGCCTTTTCCACATGAGGCCCATACGGCACAGACGCAAACGTCTGGCTCATTCAGCTAGCAAGCTAGCTTAGCATCGCTCTGTTACTTCACACGTACCACATTCACACAAACACAGCTGCTAAACGCTATCTTACGTTAATTATCAGGATGCCACGTTGCAATGTCAAAGCAGTGTTAATAACCAAAGCAACAAAGACGGCGCAAATGAAGCGCATTATTCCTCAAAACAGATCAGTCGCATATCAACCCCCCGGCAGCTACCAGTAGCGTGCTAGCTAGCATCATCTTGAAAGTACCGCGAAAGATTTTACCTGGTCACTCCGATGTGGTAGATCTATATTTCTATAGACAACAGTGCAGTTACGCTGTAGCGGCGAACATTAAATACAATATGACTGCTATTCGTGTGGCTAAATACAAAATTCTGATCTCTGTGGATCTGTGCGGTTGATATGCTAGCTGGTATGTGACAGAGATTGCATGCCTTGCAATCAAGCCGGGTGATCGGTTTGATCATGTTCGGCTTCCGTACTGGACAAACTGTCTGGCGAGGTAAACGTGTGGAGATGTAAGCAACTTTTTGGTTTGCGTTACAATATCTGAGACAGCCTGCATATAGTATCACTGTTCGCCATTGTCTTAAATCAAATAATCAAAATGCAGCACATATTTAAATTCTGTGAACAGACATGTTATGTGTTATGTTTGTGTCATGTTTCATATCTGACCACCAGATGGTGTCAGCTTCAAATTCCTACAGCCTTTTACTGTATAAGTGATCTGCATGAACTGCTACAGGGCGTGGACACACTAACATGAACACCACCAGTGCCAGCTAACAGCAACATACAACATACTGCAATCAGTTTTAATTACAGTATGTCTCAACTAGACTGTGATGATTAATCTCTGATAGGAAGATGAGCTAATTCCCATGAACACACTGATAAACAACCAAAGTCCAACAGTATAGGCTTCACAGAGACAGTATGTGGCTGGTCCATTGTACTCAGTGGTGTAGTGGTAGTTGATGAGGTTGGTGTACTACCAGGTAGATGGATAGGTAACCAAGGAGAAAGTGGGTACACTCTCCTATATATTTCAATGGCTTTTTGGTGAATACTATTCACTACACCACCACAGTGCTTTGTAAATCAGTGAGTAAATAATCATGTGGCGTCTTACCCCTGTAAAATCATTGAAAGCAGCTCTCATTCAGGGAATATGAGGACATTCTGTGTTCATAGTCACCACCACTTCCTTTCATTTCGAAATCCTTGACAAAATTGTTTTTCTGAAACAGGGCTTTAGAAAAGTGGAAGTGCTCCAGCCGCATGAAATATCATTTTAGTATCTTTCACAAGAGGAACAGAGACTTTCATACCAACTACATAAAGCTTTATTAAACATAGTTGTCAACATGTGATAATCACAGAAAACACATCTTGAGTACATATTTACATTCCTGTATCAGCTGTCAACACATGGATGGTGATGGCTAGGACATAGAGTTTTAAGAATTCTACGTGTGAACAAATAAAGGAATCACATAGTATAGAATAGAGCTCTGCATTAGTGACAGGACAAGACACATGTTAAGGAAACAAGGTTCAGCACAGGGAGCTGATTTCACTCTTGCTACAGCCCCACTTGCAGCAGGCATTGGACAGTCCGACCACTACATCCCGTCCTTTCCTGTCTGTACTCCGTAGAGCCTCCAGCACCTCCTCTGAGATTGGTGAGCGAGCCGAGCGGCCGAATCCAGCAGCCACAGATTCTTCATTCAATGTCTGATCTCTCCACGTTTGGGCCTCTGCAGGATCCTGCTTACCGGAAAGTTGAGGGATGGGATTCGTGTTCCATGGGTCAAAGGCTTCTTCTCCCATAAGAAATTACAAAAAGCAAGGGAAATTCTCTTAATATTACTGTTTGACTCCAGGAAAACATGGTACATCATACAAAAGTATCCATAGTCTCATACACACTCTTACCTGAGTCTCCTATGCTTCTCTTCCAGCGAGAACCACCGCAGGTAAAGATGACAGCTCGTATGAACTCTCTTCCACACAGTTTCACCCCATAGAAAGAGGGATGACCGTCAGTCGACTGTACCCTGCTTACTAGCGCCACCAACAAGCCAAGGGTCAAGAGTGCTGCCTTCCACATGGTAAGAGTCAAAGAATGCTCTAAGTGTCTAAAAGGATTCTTGAGGTGTTTGCTTTGTGTTTTCTTTCTGGACAGCTCCCACCTTATATAGGCCTCAGCATCTCAGAGAAGGAGCTCAACTCACCTCCACTCTCCGTCACACCTAGAGATAAGACCGGAGACCTTTAGGGGCAACAATAGGCTATGCATCGAGAAAATGAAAAGATGTGATAAAGTAGCAAATGATGCCAGAGGTGATGTCAACAGAGCTCTTGGCTTTCTAATCACCTGTGACCTTTTGCTGGCCTTTTTGTCCCTTACATCAGTTGGGCTGGGCTGTGTGTCACCACACTATCTGCTATCTGCTCTGCTGTGCATTGGATGGAGATCACTATCCATTCACCTCAAAGATAACTAGGGTGCTAAACATTGATGTTCACTACAAGTGGCACACACAGGCACACCAAGCAAAGATAACAGAGGCCAATGGGTGATACTACTGTGACTCAAATCTATTGTCAACTCTGTGATGCGCAGTGTTACAACGTGTATGTTCTCAGAAACCCCACTCACCAGAATTCCACCAGATTCCATCCTTTTTGTGAGTCCATAAACTTAGTGTTTTAATGGTTTTGGCCATTAATGGAGATGTAGAATGGCAACCTCCAAACATTAGATATATATGTCAAATGCTTTGGCTTTGGAATAGACTTGTGAAGATGTCTGATGAAAGACTCCCATGGGCCAGTGAGTTAAAATCCTTATTTTATTTGAACAACATGTTATTTATATTCCAAAACAGGTTTCTCACGTTCCTCATGTATGGAGAAAAATGGTCTGTTTATGTGTGGTATAAACCAAAATTACAACCAGACTGTAGCTCCAATACAGAGCCTTACGGGAAGTATAATTTAAAAAATAGACAAAGATCCTTATGTGCCTAGTTACGCTCAGGAACATTACCATTAGCCTTATAGACCAGTAGGCATAATGCCACTCCAGAGGGGGACAGACTTTGTTTACTGTGCAACATAGGTGATATTGAGAATGGAGTTCATTTTTTGTTTTACTGTCTCACATATGAAGACATAAGAGATTGTTTGTTATTAATGAGGGTGAGAGGGTGGTGCAATAAGGTGCAGGCATGTCAAATAATTTGTTAAACACTGGGGGAGGGACTTATGTTTTTTATTTTGCGCTTAGAGGAGTGGCATACAAATATAAATGACTGTATTTTGTATTTATTTTAGCAACAAAGTCAGGGTTTGGAAGCCGTGTTTTTTTAAAAATTGCCAAAATCATACCATTTATCTCAGCCAGAAACTGTAAAAACAGAAATAATTGTCAGATTTTGAAATTTCCAATGATCCTTGGACACATCATGTCAATAAATGCTTCTGTCAGAAAAAAATAACCAAATCTGAGCTTGAAATAGTGATATTTCTTTGAAATCACTTGATTCTATGTCTCATTTAAAATTTTGCCAAAAAATAAACTGTTCGAACGAACTAACCAGTATGCATGACGATTGTGGAAAAACAAGGCTTTTGTTAACTTCAGGATTTTGTCTTCAACTCCTTACTTTCAAACATCAACATTAAGTCTTAAAAATCTAACAAGTATTTTATGATAGAGGGAGGGTCCTGCATATTCTGTCAGTCTCAGGGAGAAAAAAAATAAAAATATTTGTTGCCTTTGAAAGGATAAAAAAAAAGTGACACCCCAGCCAACCTCCTCTGATAAGTACAGAACAGTTCCTAAGGGATGCACTTTTCAGTAAAATGACCTCTATTTATGTTGATTTCTTTTGGTTGATCACCATTGGTTTCCTGGGCCTTGGATAAAAAGAAAAGTATTTCATTTGGGGACTGCGCAATAAGATAACATGTACTTTGGATTGATCACTGCAACGATATGGTGTCTTGTAAACTCATGAGGGTTGGGCACACGGTTCTCTGCATGACACAGAATAAAGAAATCAATCAATGTATGTGTTGTCAACTTCAAGCCTAAATGTGCAATATTCATTATTCATATGAGACTATAGAGGGGGCGGGGATAAGTGGCGGTGTTTTATGTGCAGTGAATGAAATGAAATTCCTTCATTTTCCATCTATCTTCTTGACATTTTGAGCAATAACAAAAGTAACATTAGAAGTGGTCATTTGACGTTCGGCTGTGGTGAAAGTGACAGACAGGGACTGTCCACCAATGAGTGAGAGATTAGTTTACTGACGCTACGACCACCTCCTACGTCAGCCAATCAGCATTTAGTGTAGGGCGGGGCGAAGACCAGAGGGTAGCAACAGTTGCCCCGGTGAAGGCAAGGCGCCATAGTCACGGTAGTCCTGGCGACAAGAACCAAGCAACGGGAGTCAACAACAACAACCTAGCTAAATCTAAGGAAAAAAACTTCAACGACTAAAAAGGACAATATTGGGATAAACTAGAGGTGAAAAAGTAAAATATCTCTGAATTACCATTTCATTATCTCCTATTGTGTACGTGTGCTTGTTTGTACAACCGTCCGCGTTAACGTGAGGTTGGTGGAACGTGTCGGTGATGAAAGTGGTTGCTAGCTTCTTTCCAAACGCAGACCGTTGTTATGGCGATGTCAGATCTTTGATAAGAGCACAAGATGGCGGGTGTGTTGTAGTGCCAATCGTACTTTTTCTGGCTCATTTGTTACAATGTTCATATTTTCTGTTACAGTTTCGTTTACGGTGAAATTTTAAGAAGACGTGTCCGGTGGCTTGTTCGTGGATTTAGTTACTGTTCAACACGAGTAACTAGCAGTAGCTAATGTGTAGCTGTGTTTCACGTCACAAGTCAACGTGAGCTGCTAGCAGGGGGAAGCTATCACTCTCGCCTTCTGAACTCACTTCTAAAGCAAGCTATCCAGAAACGTTAGATACAGAAAAGCACATGAAACAGCCCACGCGACTCAGCCGCGTGTGAGCTGTAAACGCTGCGGTATGAGTGTAGTGTGTTTCATAATCTTTTTGTGACTTTGAAAAAGTTTTTGCTCTGACATTGAATTCGGCAAGTCACTCCCATGAACACGGTGTGCCGGATGATCATCTGATTGTTTGCCGTGTTGGTTTATGCAGGAGTGGCTTATTTTACAGTGGGAAGGTCTAAAGTTTTGACTGACAGTGGGTTTAATGATTATTATGAGTTTATATCCAAAGGTGATATCTGGTGGCATATTTTCAAATATTTATTCAGTCATTTAGTTGCGCTATTTTCACTTGAAACACCATGGTCACAGTCAGTGAAACTTGTTTTGGAAATTTTAATTAATTGCTTTATTGGTGGGTGTTTAAGATGGCAGTGTTTCATACTGGAGCAAACAGGAAAAGCCCTAGACTACTGTTATTCTCGGACAAAAGCTCTACTTCCTCCTCTGGTTTATGTTCCACGTGCACGCACACGTGTAAGCTCACACACTCTAGGTCTGTGCGTTCAAATCAGAGAGGTGAAATAACCTGCAAACAAGTGTGTTGTTATGTGTGTTTGCACCACTTTCATTAATGAGCACCGTCTCTTTTTTTATCCACAGAACCAGTGCCTCAAAGCATTGGTTGCCATGGCAACTTCTGGATACTCGGAGGACCTTCAGCCTCAGCAGGCCAACGCAGTAACCATAGCAACACCTGCTGCCACCACACCCTCATCCACCAAGACGGCACACTTCCTGTCCGAGATCCCACCGACCTCTGGAAACATTGCATCGGCGAACCAATCGGCCGCTGCCTCAAAAACAGGACAGGATGCACTTTGTTCTCAAGCGCCGCCCACCACCCAGAGCCAGAAGGCAGTGGTTCTGACAACTCCCACGCAGCACTATGTAACCCCAGAAATCCAGCATTCTGCAGTCCAGAAAAGTAATGGTCAGAGCAACTCGCCCCAGTACATCATAGTCACTGTGACAGGTGAGACACAGAGGAATGACTGACACATACCTACATAATACACACTGTGCATGTACACATAATACACATATTCCAGCAGCAGGAGGGCATTATATGGCATGCAGTCTGAGCGAGTTGCAGTTTGTCTCACAAGTCTGTATCCTGGGTGGAAGCAACAGGCTGGATCCAGGTTGGAGACCGGCAGTTTGTCTGGCACATAGTGACGGCTTCCAGTTATCAGTACAGAGCAGAGGTGGTTATAAATGTTTGCTTATACATCTTTAAAATGATGAGAAATGCTCGTCATTTAAGTGCCAGGGTCCATCACGATCTCTTGATGGTTAAATCAAAGTGGTGTCCAACAGTGCTGAAGCAATTAATCCGTTAGTTTATTGACAGAAAATTCTCAACAACTTTGATAGTGGAGTGATTGTTTAAGTCATTTATGAAAGAATAAACCCAGATATTTGCTGGTTCAGGGTTTTAGTAGTTAGGATTTTCTGCTTTCCTGTTTTGCATCATTGCAAATTAAATATCTTTAGGGATCTTTGTACTGTTGGTGTGACCTCACTAATGAACTGGATAATGCCACTGTGGGCTCTACTAAATCGAAATAGATTTTTTTGCACTATTTTCATAAAATTTTATAGAGTAAACAATTATTCAGTTGATGTTTTTTACTTGATGAATAACTAGCACCAGTAATCAGTAATCAAAATTAGAGTATCTTCTCTATAGTAGTTGATCCAGGTCATAATTTTAGCCCCTAAATGCACAAGTGCACAGCCAATTTCTGATCTTTATTCCAAGCCTAGATTTCACTTTACAGAAACACGTTCGAATGCTATCAACAGACATTTTGGGAACTTTCCGACTGAATTTTGATATAACTATTTGCAGTTACTACTTATGAAGATAATGTTTGTTATTTCAGTGTTTCTCGGTCATGAAGGCTGCAGGCTTTCAGCCTCACAGAGTTGCATTCCATTTTTATAACAGTCTAATTAGATGGCTTGAAAGAGATCTAAGACCCACCTCGATCGAAAAACCCCTGATGTAGTTTGCCTGTCTGGTTAGATGGTGCATACATTATGAGGACAAAATAAGCTGATGGACTTGGTTGCTAGGCTGCGTAGTCCCAAATGTGGGAGCGTGGATGGTTGATGGATAGAACCTGACTTCACTTCTGCTCTCCTGTTTTTGCTGTTATAGAGAGTCTGTGGTATAATGTCGTTGTTGTTGTTTTCAATTATATTTCATCAACATGGCTTTGAGTGTGCAAGCCAGTCTCAATGGTAGCTAAATGTGTGCATACAAGGCTCTAGACCATTTCCATGTAGTAGTTCAAATTCATTTAGATGAATGCTTTTTCAAAATGTGTGATGCATTAAAAAAATTCTCAGCCGTACTGAGTTTTGTCAGTATTTTTAAAATATGGTTTTAACTAGCGGAAATGAGAGAATCGACCCCAACACCGGTGTCTATCTGTAAGTTTATTTTAGGGATGTCTATTAGTAGATCTTTTTGCCTGCTGGTATCAAGTAACACTTTGCACTTTCACCCAGAGTCAGACTCACAGGCCTCAGGCTTGTCTCACTCTCGTGAAGTAGAACTGAGGTAACTGAATAACTGTGCTTATTAAAAAGCTGGCATTCACTCATATCTACAGACTGCAGTAAAAAGACCTGGACTCTTACTTTGTATTGTGCTTCATAAAAGAGGATACACTTCAGCTATTGTGATTTTTTTGCTTCTCTTTATCCATATTTATGAAAGCAGGCTAAAGTGATGTCTTTAAAGACATCCAGTGAGTACAATATAACTATACACAAGGGTTTAATACGGTATCATGTAACATAGAAAGGGAAGATTGTTTTTCTGTTCAGCTGGGACTTCATACTATCAATAACTGTTTTAAATATAAATACATTTTGCAGGATTGTGTAGAAGCAGGCTGTTGAAAGTAGCTCGCTAGATTTGATATCTTATTGATCAATCAGTTGATTATTTCCCCATAGATATCTTAACACTGCTTTTTTTTGGCTCCTTTAACCAACAAATATTTGATATTTTTCTGTTTTTAATGTAGAGGCGATTGAAAAAGTAATAGTTTCATTTTTTGTCGATCAAACAGGGGTGTCCGCAGGTCCTTAAAAATTTAAATTATGCAAGCATTAGGCCTTAAAGTGATTAAATTGTCCTAAATTGAAATTTGTGAGGTCCTAATCACAACAAACATTTTATCTAATTTCATTTATCCATCTTTTTTTGTCAAGATGAGTCAAGCTTTTCTGCGTAAAATTCCACAGTTGTCATGGTGTAAATCATAAATGCTGCCACTGGACCAAATGCTGTCTTTTTAATTATACTTTTGCTTACCTTTTGGCAAAATATAGATTAACTTTACTCACCTTAATAACCATATTCCTTCATAAAACCTACCTCTGCACAGGACCACATGTACAGCAATTAGCTGTATACTTTACTGCAATGCTTAAATAAGAAAAAGATCATTTGTCCAAACTTTATCTTAAATTTGATTAAAATGATTTTGAAAAAGTCTTAAAAGCATTAAATTTAAGTGTTTGGTACCGGTAGACACCCTTTTAACTTATCAATAAATTGACTATAATTGTAAGTGCTGCCTATATCACATGATGAAAACTGTAAAACTTGTAAACCTGTGCTAAATGTGTTTGTTTTATTGACAACATTTGGTTGGTTGTCATGTTGGCACGCCCCAGAGTACTGTATTCTGGTCCTAGCTGCAGTTGTCAGAATTTGGTAAAACTAATCAGAACCATGGACCAGAATGGCTTGCATTATAATAGACTGCCTTCATTATTTTATCCAGTCAGCACCCTCATTAGGCATTTCCCCCTCAAATGCATTAATTTAGGTATAAAAGTTGCCACCAGATAGCTTAGTTTATTTAGCTAGAAGCCCATGGCAATCACCATGTAACCTCTAACAATAAGTATTCTTTGCTCTTGAATTATGTCATGAGAGAAATTTAAAGTTGCTCAAACAAAAAGTTATTAACTTTCCAAACTGCCAGTTACATCTTATTTTAGATCTCACTTTACATCACATATTATAATGAAAAATTAGATTGAGTGGTGGGCTGTGCAGAGTCGTGCTAACTCAAGTGTAACTTTGGGTATGTTTACAGTTAAAGCTGGTTGAAGTAACAGTGAGAGCAGGGCGGTGCAAAAACAGTTAAAGTAAAATGTTTTCTCACCTGAAGGGTATAAGGAAGTGAATATTACCCACTCCTCCGCCCACCCTCCATCCTCTGTTTCCTCCTTCCATCCATCATCCCTCGTGTATCTCTCATTTCCCTCTCTCATTTGATCTGCATGTTTACAAGATGGAGTGATTTCTCCCTCCATCTGGGAGATTAGCTGTCCAAGGCTGTCCTTCTGCATGCAAGATATAAGGATGAAAGCAGAGATGGACAGACACATTCTCTCTCATCCCGTCTATCAGCAAAAACAGTAAACTTAGTTGCAGGATGTTCTGCGGCGGCTGTTATTATGATTTGGAAGCAGTATGTCGTGAGTACTGAACTTGTGGTGACGGTGGCTGGCTTTTCTGTTGAAATTTGTTCCATCATCTGATTAAAGTTCTCTCCCTCTACCATTTCTAGAGGGCTCTGTTCACTCCAATGACAGTCTGTCAGACTCCAGCCCACCTGCCCCAGGTGTTCCTACTCAGGTGGTCCAACCAGTGCAGACCACCCAACAGGTAAGATGCACACATATACACAAACACTATTAATTTACCATTTGACTATGGAGCAGTGAGTCACAACAAACGGTTGAGCACCCATGGTTCCATCTGACACTGTGGCTTTACCCACCTGCAGAGGTCAGTGTTGCAAGCAGTCTCGCAGGCAGCCAAGAGGATTCAGGCTGGCCACATCAACAACCTACAGTATGTGCACATTAACCAGGAGGTAAACAGACATACAAAACATTTCCTCTTATCATGAGGTAATCATGACGTATCAAGGTAATTTAATCATGCATGTCTTAGTAATGGCTTTGTCCAGTGTCCAAAGATAGAAAGAGAGGGATGTAGGAGAGAAAGCCCTTAGTGCCCTTTACATGAAACAAGTAATTCCCCACCTGCTTTGCATGTCTTTTCACCTCCAACACCACTGCCTCTAGGGGCTGTCTGAGATGTACCTAAACACTGAACTCTGCAGGTAATGCTGTGTACGGGTGTCAGTGAATGATAACGATTTTTTTGGACCACCACTTATATTCATCTGTAATGGCAGACTACTAACCCCACTACCTCTTTGTTTTCCTCGTTGTATTCCTTAAAACCCGCCTTTAAACTGTCATGTCTACCAAGAAATGCTCTCAACAACTTAGCTTCTATTTATGTCTGAATATAATAATACAGTAATGATTGTGAGCTGTCAAACAGGTTTCAGACATTGTGCCTGCTCGACTCCTCTGAACAAAAACCCTTTTGACGCAGTTATGGAGCACAGCATTCTTTATTCAGTAGGACGACACGATGTGGTGTGAATAGTATTAAAAGAAAAATGGTAGCTATTTCTCATTTGTTCCAGTCTTGCTGTTTGTTTAAAGCCTCTAGTGAAGCTCTAATCTGTGATTTTATATTAACAATGTATGTTGACACTTGTAGCTGCTTGTTATGAACCCACAGAGAATTGATGCCCAGTTCTGCAGTTCACCTCAGAGTCCTGCAGCAGTCTGATTTTTGAGACTTGCTCTTGAAACATAACCACAACGTGCAACACTGCACCCGCCCCGCCACTCGCACATATAACCAATTACTTCAGCAACCTGACCCGACCCAAGCTGCCTACACAGCTCGGTGTATGACCCAAAACCACAAAAATGCATAATAACCATGCGCTCCTTAAATTTTTAAACGATCATTTTGCAACATTTAATTCATGTGAAACTGAGATAATGTATTTTAATTCGAATGTAATTCAAGAAATACAATTTTAATGAATATTTTTTGCTTATTCTCATAATGTTAAGCAGCACATCTCCACAGTTACCATGCCTGTTAGTAATGCACTTGATGAAAGCGGCTCTCATATCCCAGTTGGTGCAGAAGGCAGATCTGACTCACAGAGACAGCAGTCAGAGGATTAAAGTGTTAAAACATTGAATTATTACTACATTCATCATTTTGTTGTGTATTTATTGTCCAATTCCCACAATCTGACCCGCATGTTGTTTGTTTCACCCAGAACCAAATCCAGAAATACAATTAAGACAAAATACCACCTGCCAATCACCTTTTTTGAAGGTCACCTGCCAGGCACCAGACCTGATGCAGGACTCTTGTTCACCTCACTTTTGTGGCACGTTTTAGCATCATTTAGCTTATTGTTTGGGTTTTTACAGCTTCCACCTTCACTTTTTGGGTTCATTCTCATCTGTCTGAATCCATGATATTTTCCAGTCGCAGCAGCAGGCGGCTGTTCTCACCCAGAAAGCTCTAAAAACCCATTAACTTGCACATAATGACACAGAGACAACTAGTGACTTACTGGTGAACAGCTAAAGAGTTGATGCAGACCAAAACAGAGCTAAAAGGAGAGTGAATATTGAATGCCAATGATGCGCCGTGTTCCTGGATGTGTAATAGACAATTGTTTGCTAACACTTTTGCCATAACTTCATATGGTACAATATGTCAATATTGTGTTTACAGTTTGTGCTGCCTCCAAGTGACCAAATAAAAACAGTGAATGCTGCTTCAAGTCTCCTGTTTGCTTGTTGTCCAGGTGGAGCATGTTTACTCTGGCCAGGTGCAGTATGTGGACGGAGGAGGAGACACGACTTTTACCACATCCACCATGTGAGTAGAAAGGAGCTTGCTCTGTGTGCATGTTGACAACTTTCCTGGGGCCAGGTTTATCAACCCAGCTGAGTACTAGTCTAAGCTTTAGACTGGTTTAAGAATGTCAGGTAAGACGGACCTAATTTTAGGTGGGAAAGGTAGCCACTTTTGTCCCTGCATAGGTAAGCCATGGAGAAAAAGGATAAGAACACTGTGCAGAGCAAGAATCTGTTTGAACAACAATTTGACTTTCTACTTGTTCTGCTAAAGACCCAATTACTCCAGTTAAAGTTAATGGTAACACTGTTGACATATTGGTGGATAGTGGTGCCCCCTTTTGAGCCGTAAGAGCTAATGAACAACAACATATAACAACATCCAGTTTTGTTACCACTCTGGGGGTCACAGGTGTTCCAATTGAAGAGCCATTCTCACGAACATCTATTTTAACAGTTGAAGGTTCAGATCAGATGTGCAACATTTATTTTCAGTCTCTGAGAAGAGCCAACTTGATTTGATAGGAAGAGATTTGCTGTGTAAACTACATGCTACCATTCAGTGTAGCTCCAATAGACAGTATTAAACCATCCCTGATGACAGAGCTATACAAGGAGTTAGGTTCCTTTAGTCCACTGTTGATTGTTTATATATCTGGACATTGCCACATTTCATTATATTTCAATATAGTCAAATTGCTTTACAACATTAGTCACAACACTCACAGGGAAGCTTACTGCAAAAGGTAAATTTAAGTGTCAGTAGGAAGTCTGACTTAAAGTCATGTTTAAAACAACAAAGACTACATCACATATCTGTGCCTGTTGTACATTTTTAATTTCTGTGTGTGTCTTGTCTTTTTCTGTCCAGTCGATCGAACAACTACCCTTTCTCCGACTCGCCCCTCTACTCCCAGACTCCTCCCACCTCCTCCTCCTCCTACTATGAGGCCACGCCCAGCACCGAGTCAGATATCACCAGCTCTGTGACCTCGCAGCCTGTTACTGTGGCAACAGCAGGAGCCAATAGTGGAGGAGCTGCTGCGGGTGGAGGGGGCTACGTCATTCAAGGAGGTTATGTGTTAGGAGGAGGAGGAGCAGCAGTAGCAAGTGGAGGTGGAGGAGGAGGAGGAGGAGGAGGAGCACAGAGTTACTCCAGCCCTAACTCTCGTGCCCCACCTGCTACTGTGAGTACTCATGTTCAAAGTGAACACTGTATTGGGTTACAATCTATGATATGAAAGTGAGAAATGACATGAAATTCTGCGACCGTCCATCTTCCCCAGGTGCAGTGGCTGTGTGACAACTACGAGGGGGCGGAGGGGGTGAGCTTACCACGCTGCACCCTCTATTACCACTACCTGCTGCACTGCCAGGAGCAGAAACTAGAACCTGTAAATGCTGCATCCTTCGGTAAACTCATCAGGTCTGTCTTCATGGGGCTACGCACACGGCGATTAGGGACAAGGTATATACACACGCACATACACACACACGTACATTGATTTTGCCAGATGAGGGCATTGTCATAACTCTTCATGTGTGTTTCAGAGGGAACTCTAAGTACCACTACTATGGTCTGAGGATCAAATCTGGCTCCCCGCTGCTCAGACTGATGGATGAACAACAGCACATGGCGATGAGGCAGCAGCCTTTCTCACAGAAAAACAGGTATCCACACGGGGCTGATTGCTGGTGTCCTGATGTTCACGATGTTACTGCAGTCTGTTTTAAGTGCTCTAATTGCAGCATAAGCTTTGTTTTGATTGATGGGCACTTTGTCCAATAGGATAAAGCCACTACAGAAGGCACAGGGGATCACTAATGGGACATCAGGTGGGATGGGTCAGCAGCAGGCAGCAGCACTCTGTGATATTTCGGCACAGGTGCAACAGTATCAGCAGTTTCTGGGTGAGCAACACCTGCACTCTGAAAAATGTTTACCTTTTTTTTCCAGCAGTACATTAACAAATGAATACTTTCAACCTGTGTTCTTGGTAATCCCCTATACAAGCTATGAACAGCTGCTTTCTCTTGTTCAGAGGCATCACGGCCACTGCCAGACTTTGTTGACATTGATGTGCAAGATCGAACCCTGCCTGATGGGATCCTTTTAGAACACCTCAAGGCCTTCCAGACTCTCTACAGAGAACACTGTGAGGTAGGCAGTCATGGACACCGACAGGTCATGCACAATAGGGCTGCTCGATTATGGCAAAAATCAAAATCTCAGTTATTTTGATCAATATTAAAACTACATTTATTAAACCTGATTATCTATTGACTTTGGAAACATTTTGCATTTCTTGAACTTGAAAAAAAGTATTTCTAACAGAGGCTTTTCTTGAACTTTGAATGTAATTCAACTATAGGTGGCTCATTGGATGTAATTCTGACTGTAACAGTTAAAGCACTCATATACTGGCATGTTGTAATAAGAATAAATAACACAAATGTCAGTAATTTAATGTAATTCTTCATTGTAAGACTCTGATCTGTTGATAATAACAAAACTGTAGCATTATAACAATGTGGGTAGTATGTGTAAATGAGCGGTGGTAAACTTCCCTCCTTCTAACCCGTGCCTAGATCTCACTGCTCTCCTCCCAGCAAAACTCCGTCGGATGACGCGTATAACATCAGTTATAAACCAAGATTCTGTTACTGTGTTACCGATTTCTCGTCTTGAATGTTTTCAGAAACATATTTAAGCTTACTGTTTAACTGTAATAGAGATCGTTTGTTACCAGCCCACCACCACTGCATTATGTCACCTACCAGCAGGAGAATTTATTGGACCGTTGAGGTGCAGTGCATCCTGGTAGTTGTAGGTTTTCTACCTTTGGAGCAAAAGCAAATGCCACAGCCCTTTTCTCTGTTTTCTCTGGTCATGGAGCGCCAATTCTAAAAGTATTTGTGTCTTTCTGCTGCATAGACAGCCTAGTTTTATGAAAAGGCCATCTTTCCACCAGTGAAATATTTCTTAAATGAGAGCTCATCTGCAGTAGTTGTAGTAGCAGTGGGTTATTTCCAGGAATAAAGTCACTAGAGGGTCTGAAAAGTCACAAAATCTAGCAAGAAAACATCGTTTTAAGAGAAAGTGGTATGCCAAATTTATAACGCAAGACAAAACGAGAGCATCATCTCAAAACAGAATGCAGTGTAATAGCTGCTCTACCTTGATTATTTTGTTTTCATAATTATTGGAAGCCAAAACCGTAATTGGAAAATAAAATTCAATTAATTGCCCAGCACCAATGCACACTGATGTTAACTTTGTTCTTTGCCCTTGATGTAGATAATGTTGAAACCCAGATTTAATAACGGGTGACTATATGTTGTCAAAGTTGAAGTGACATTGTTGTATAGCACAGAAGTGTTACATGTTAAGAAAAACATTCTTTACTATCAAAATGTAAAGCAATCATGATGCCAGAAGTATGGAGACGGTTTAGACACCCCTGTGGTGTTCTGTGTGATCCCTACAGGCCATTCTGGACGTGATGGTCAACCTTCAGTTCACCCTCGTGGAGACGCTGTGGAAATCCTTCTGGAGGTTTAGCCAGAGCAGTGACACAGAATCGCTCAACCTGTAAGTGTCATTAATACACTCAGGCAATCTGATGAAAGAAATACCAGCACATGTCTCATCCAGTGCTGTAACTGAGTGTGGATGGTCTGTCCTCTCCACCTCCAGGCACAATGAGTCTGAGAAGCGTCTGCCCAAATCGTGCCTGGTGGTGCTGTGTAAGTATGAGCCAGTGCTGCGCTGGACGAAAGAGTGCGACAACCTGCTCTACCAGACTCTGGTGGAGATCCTCATCCCTGATGTACTGAGACCCATCCCCAGTAAGTTAATAAAGCCATAATGGGCCTTAGGTACAAAACTGTTCAGTGAGAAAATCAAAACTAATTGACAGATTTACAGCATGCAGGTCTCAATCTGAGGTTTTACCTACCTACACACCTGCGTGTTGAAATATAAATGTAAACCTTTTTCTCCCTATCTCTTTCTCCTCTCCACATCACCACCACCCCTCCCTCAGGTGCCTTAACTCAGGCCATCCGCAACTTTGCCAAGAGTCTTGAGAACTGGTTGACAGGCGCCATGATGAACATCCCAGAGGAGATGGTTCGCATAAAGGTATGTGAGCTCTGCATCTGTTTTTAGATCTTTCTGTTTCATACCTTTACATGGTCAGATGTAAACTGTCCAGATGATGTCTAGATCCTGTACAGACAGTTCCCACCTGGCATGGCAATCATCTTAAACGTCTCCTGCTTTGTTTTTGTATGCACTCTCACATTTTCAGTGCTGTTCTCCTGTAATTGGAAAACCCAGGATGCACTTACAGTCCCTGCAGGATTTTTTTGGGGTTGTTGCAGTTTGAAATGCCTGATTTCACAGCAGCTTTTCTAAAAAATTTTGATGCATTTTACAGTGAATATAGGCGGGGGTTTTTTACAGTGTAATTGCTGGGGCAGATGAACACTGAAAAAAGTAGTTGCCATGCTATCTCGGATCCAGAGCCTGCTATTATGAGCAGTTTGTGTTTCCCACAGAATGAGAATTTATTCGTGATGGTGGGTGGGGGCTGACAGCTGATAGGCAACGATCTGCTGCCATTCAATGCAGCACTGAGAGACCATCTCCATGAGCCGCTCTGCTCCTGCTCTGTCTGTCTAGTTAGCACCAGCTAATGCAGCAGCGACTAATATTCAACACCAAGCCATTAAATGGTTCCAACAACCTCACACTGACACCAAAATGGCTCAGCTCTGTTCTTAAATCCACCAATAATCGTTGGGTAATATTAGCTGTGTGATGCTAACAGTTAGCCCAGCTCTTCAGTGAAATCAGATTTTACCCATTATAAATAGACAGATTTGCAGTGAAGTTGTGGTGATTGGACAAAATTTCTAGGTGCACGAAATGCACAGGGTTGGTTGATAAATGTTGCCATCACAACATCCTGCAGGGACTGACTTAAAAACTGAGTGTGAACAGGGCCGTATAGTGCCTTCCCTCTGACATGCACCATCTTATTATATCCATAATCCTTTCTCCTCCCTCTGTCCTTCAGGTGGTGTGTGTGGGCTCCTTCTCCCAGACGCTTCGCCGCTATACCAGCCTGAACCACCTGGCCCAAGCAGCCCGTGCTGTCCTGCAGAACTCAGCACAGATCAACCAGATGCTCTCAGACCTCAACAGGGTTGATTTCACTAACGTACAGGTTTGTTCCACTGTCTCCCACCTCCCATCTCTTACTGCACATTAGTGTTTTATGTGAAATAGAGCAGAACTCTGACACAATCCAGCTGTGTTCCCCCCCTCAGGAGCAGGCATCCTGGGTATGTCAGTGTGAAGACCGTGTGGTGCAGCGACTGGAGCAAGATTTTAAAATGACTCTGCAGCAGCAAAACTCTCTGGAGCAGTGGGCCACCTGGCTGGACAGTGTTGTCTCTCAGGCCCTAAAGCCCTACGAGCACAACCCTGTCGCTCTACCAAAGGCCGCCAAGGTCTTTCTGCTCAACTGGTCCTTCTATAGGTGAGAGGAAGAAAATAAAACGGGATGTATATAAATATCTGATTTTATGTCAAAGATAATTAAGCAATACCACATGAGAGGGAGTGCTGTTGTACTGAATATCATCTCAGCTGTGATCTGGTGATGACAGTCAGTACAGCTTGACCTCGAGCATGATTACAGTTCTACAATCACCATCTATCAGTTAACAGTAATAAGGGACAACAGATTATGATTTCTTTGTTTATTTAAGCATTTCATTTCACAAATAACTCCACAGCTGATGGGACTGAACTGCTGCCTAGCATGCATAAACACTCCTGCACATTAGCATTAACTAGCTGCTGTGTGTAAGCTTGGTCTTTAGTCAATCCTAATACATGGTAGAACACTCGACACTTGATTAGTGTCACTTGACAGAAATCAAATAGTTTGCGTTGTTTTCATCATATGCTTCAGCGAAAGGTTTTAGTCGACTCCTGCAGAGACCCCGTACGTTTTTTTACACTACAAGTCTATTTCTGTTGCGTTTAGTGAAGCGGAATCTGGACTGAAAGCTGTTTAAATTAAACAGATATCCTGCTATTTATGTTTTTAATTTATTAACTGCATCGGCACTGATTAATCAGCTCCCAGTCTGTCTGTGAGCGGCAGACTCCCCTCACTCACTACTGTGGGTTGTGAAATGAATGAATGCATCAATAGATACAAATACTGTCGATTTCTTCCGGGGGAGCTGACATGAAAAATATTTAAGTTCAGTAAATGTTGTCAGTCAGCCTGGTGAGGGCAATTTAGCTGGCCGCTGTCCTCTCAGCTCCCCAGGAGCAGCTGCTGACAGACGGCTGCCCCAGTGGACAGAGGCAGGTTGGAGTTGGTGTTGATTGAAAGCTACCATCTCCGTGGCAACATGTGTTTATTTTTGTAGTGCTAAATTTGTTACGATCTAAAATAACATTAGATAACGACCTGACCGTTTGAAAAGGGCTTAGAACACCTGTAAAGTGGAGTGATACGTATAGTTAAAAGTCCGAGTGCTGTTATACTCTATATCGGCACTTATGGAATGCCTCTTATCCAATTAAATGACTTGGTATGAAATTGTCTTCATTTTCTTTCTCATCAGCTCTATGGTGATCAGGGACCTGACTCTGCGCAGTGCTGCCAGCTTTGGCTCCTTTCACCTGATCCGCCTGCTCTATGATGAGTACATGTACTACCTGATAGAACACAGGGTGGCCCAGGCTAAAGGAGTGACACCCATTGCGGTCATGGGAGAAGTATGTTTTCACTTACAGTTGCATAGTAGCAGTCAGCACTTGATGATACATGTTTATAACATGCTCCAATCCTTGCTCTGTGTTGCAGTTTGCCAGTACCATCAAAAGCCGAATCTCTCCAGACATGGAGAAAGGTAATTCCAATGCGTTTATCCTCACTTGTTTAGTTTCAAGTTATCAGGTCGCTTAATGTCAGTGCCTTCCTTCATCAGAAGAAGAAGAAGACGACGATGAAGACGAGAGTGAGGACGAGGGCGGAGATCTTGTGCTGCAGTCCAGCTCTCTGAGCGCGGTCGACGACGACAAGGACTCGATAGAGCCGCCCGCCAAGCTGCCCAGGACGAGTTTCAACCTGCACGCTCTGTCCGACAGCACACCACCTTAGCCGCTCGCTCTTTTAACTATCACACACACATTTCACACACACCTCCGCTTTAACATCCAGTCATCCCATCCTGTCACACTGTGTACGCTTCAGGTTTGCAAAACAGGTGATGTTCGGTGTTGAGTGTGTGGTCGTCTGGTGTGTGTGCACAAGCATGTGAGAAAGCCTGAGCGCCCTTTGCCAATTTTGTACTTTTGTGCTGCCATTCTTCTTCTCTTTGCCTTCACCTGCTATTTTACAGTCCTTTCCTCGTTCCCTGTGCCTTCCCTGTTTATCCAGTGGCTAGATGCCAGTAGCCACTCCTGTCCAGCCTCAACTGTATTGTATACAGTATATATATCTATACACATATATATTCTTGATTCCCTCCTGCCCCGCCTTAACCACTGACCTGATTGCTGTGGAGAGATGAGGAGACTCCAGTGTTCTTTATTGTATTCTAAACTCGAAAATATCACTTACCTTGCCTTTAAAGCAATGACTATGCAGGGGAGCTGGACTTAAACAAACAGCACTGTCTGAAATACACATTTTTTAATCACAGAGTAGCATCTGGAATGATACTGCACCATGGATTTTTGTCGGCACATGGATGTTGATTGACAGCTATTTGTAGATGCCATATTTTACTTGTAATTTCTCATTAATTTGGTCAATTAACTGATAACCCTGTGCCTTTGAGAGATTTCTAGCCTGGAAAAAAAGAAGCTTGTATTCTATATATTCTGTATCGGTGGATTAATAAATGAAGTTCCTGTGAAGTAGTCTCGGTGTCGTCATGAACTTTTACTAGCTGTGAAAACTAAAAAAGATGAAATGGTGACAGTCAGTTGTGAGGAGTCGGCCCAGTTTGCATCCATCCATCCCTTTTATCTATTCATCATCCATTTGTTCTCTCAAGGTCATCATAATCTCTTTTACACATACTGGAAAGACACGCCGTGGTCTTGCAGTGCAGTGCAAGTTACTGGGCTACAGGACAAGGTCAAAGCTTACCCCACCCAATCACTTACTACACAGTATCCATGGCAACCTTTGTACCATTTAGATGTACCGGCTACAGCTATCTCAAAGTTTTTGTAGTGTAAAAGTAGATGTGTATTTTCTGGGGTATCACTGTTGAACATTTTGTAGATATTCTGTACCTTTTGTGAACACTGTCATATAGCTAAACTATTTGTATGTTGTTTGACCATTATTGCCTTAAACATGTCGTGCCATGTCCACTCTCCAGATTATTGAACTCTATTTTTATTGTGATGATGGACCAAGCATGTGAATATGGTGACTTTCTAGATTGGACCCTTTCCAAAGAGCGCCTGCTCAACCAGCAGCTTCTCACTCGGCATGAGCAGATGTTGATTTAATGAAGTGTTGGATGGTCTGACTACCAAGATCCCACCAAAGAGCACTAAACAGAAAACAAGGGTATATTTACTATAACTCACATGGTGAGGGCAGACTATAAAATGAAATCAACTGCGAACTGCGATGTCACTGTTATAAACATGGTGGCCTGGATTCTGTCCTTAGCTTGTGCTGCTGAACCTTTTCTAAATGAGGTCCTCTTGATGTTACTCTGAAGACCTTTGTACTTAAACCTGTGATCATTGTTTGTAGCTTTATTCTGTTAACTAAAAGGATGTGATTGCTCTCAAACTTGTGCCAGATTTTTTTATTCTTCCATGGGATCACTGTAGACAATGTTCTTGGTTTCTGCACCACATCACCTACACCAGAGGTTCTGAACCATGTCCCAGATAAGACTGAGATATCCTGTCCTCTAGTCTTTAGTATGGATCCAAAACTACTAGATCTTTTATTTCCCATGCTTTTGTTTCACCTTTGCTGCCATTTAAATGCCCACTTTTATAACACCCTACACCTTCAGTTTGTAAGGCAAGCTTTCTGTTAAAATGTCAAGTATCAAATAGTTAATGTTGATGAGATGGTCAGATCTATTCTTTTAAGCATTAGAAACCTCTTCCACAGCCTCAGAAAACATTATGTTACTGTTTTTACAGCCTGAGTAGTATTCTCTTGACAAGAAAACTGAACTTCTATAAAATGTTAGGTTGATTTAAATGAAGCCTACAGTATCTGGAACCATTTGTTACGGGTTGCTAGTGTCTACCTACCAGTTGCAGGGTTGCTACATCTTAACGCAAGTTAGATATAGGACTTTTTTTAAATGCCATTCGGAGTTAAATTAACCCAAAATTGAACAGGAAAAAAAAAAAGAACTGAAATCAATTACTGAATATTAGGAACATTTTGTCCAAATTTTAATTTTAACATAAAACATGACTTTTTTTAGTCAAGCAAGCAGGCAAAAAACAAAAAATCTAGAGTGGAACGATTGTAAAACAATAAACATATTATCATAAACGTTGATTTGAAGGGAGCTTTTTGTAATTTGATTGGATGTGGTTAAAGTATACGTGTTGTTGGTTTGGCTATCCTGATGTGCATTACAATAATGTGAGGGGCATTCGATAATTATTTAAAGGAAAATAATGTCACTAATTATTTCAGGATTTACAATGCAATGTCAGAACGAAGATTCATAAATTACCATGCCCAATATCTTAGCATATTTAAGACATTTTAATACCAATTAAGGCCTTATTTTTAGATTAACTAATTTAATGGCTTTCAAGTTTTTTTAATGATCTGTGGGAACCCTGAGTTGTAACTAGTTTAAGGAAAAACTGTTTAATTTTCCTTGTTTTATTAAAGTAACTAATCGGTCAATTTATTTCTTGCATGAAATGATAAAATATTATTTCAGTAAAATGTAATAATTGTCAGTTTTGTCAATATATAGCACTGGTAGTAGTAAATAAATGTCAATGTTAGGAAAAGGCTAAAAATAAATAATATAGCTAATGGGGTTCAAACACCACAAATGCAGTTTTCAGGACCCCCAGGTTGGGAACCACTGACCTTCACTGTAGACCAAGTCTCCAGCCGTTAATTCAACAAACTCACAAAAACATTTTAACATTTTATTTTCACAAAATATCCCAAATACAACATAGTCTTACTTCCATGCCAGTAAACATACAGCATGTCAACTGGCTGAGCAGCTTACCCCCCCCCAACCAAACAATGCTCTACTTCCATGACAAAGGTTTAAAAAAAAAAAAAAAAAAAAAAAAAAAAAAAAGGTGTTTAGAGTCAAGTGATGCAGTACTGGGTTCAGTTTGTCTCGTGTCTTAAATACTGCAGCCTTATGACTCAACACAGCTAGACTGAACTGGTCCAGAAGCAGCAGAATCTGTCAAGTGTAACATACACATTAAACATGCGTACACTCATACAGGCATACAGGTAGGTACACACACACACACACACACACACACACACACACTATTTCTCTGGATGAAATCCCCTTGTGAACATCACACAGGTGCAGTTTATTACATACACTCAGTAACACACACCCACCCACACACACACACACACACACACACACACACACACGAAACACTCGCACTACAATAACAGTACGCCTTTATGTATAAAAATTAAAAGTAAAAACTAAATCTTCGTTCAGTCCAGCTCTTTGTTTTGGTGGTAGAAATAATACAGTACACAGTTACAAAAAAAGAAAAAAGAAAAGATGAAACCTGTAAAAATTAAACAGACCACCTAAAAAAAAAACCCTTCATCTTTACAGCATTTAGAGCGTTCTGTGATTCCAATTAGACACGTTTAAACTACATGTTACCCGAGGGCAGTCGCTGAACATGTGCAGTTTTGCTCAGATTAAGGTTGAGCTCTGTACTGACGATGAGGCCATGTCGACATATGTGTGTGCTTTTGTTTCCGTTGCTTTGACACTTCTTCTTTCTTCATAATACAATCCAGGTGCATCGGTCACTGTCTGCCAGCACTTGAAGGGACGAGCCTACAGGTGAGAAGACGAGTGATATTATCCCCAAAAACACATGTAGACAAACAATCAAAATAACAGTTTGCAAGACTGTAAAACATCCCAACAGTAGCTGGGACCTTTGTCATAAAAACAGGAGACCAACGTATGTTAAGACTAATCTCAGTGTTTACTGAGAGTTCACTGCAATAAAAAACCTGTGCCACTCAAATTTATGAAACTTTAACTGACAAAAACACTTAATACTACTACTGAATTTATCTGAAACAAACACTTAACAGAAGTGACAATTACCCACACAGCCTTTTACACTGAAGATATTTTTTATGTCACAAAAGGCAAAGCAGCAGTGTACATAAGAAAATGACTGATGGCTGAATTTAAGGCCCTTTTCACAGCAGACATTTTGGCTACATTCACATTACAGTGCTTAATGCTCAGCTTCGATTATTTTCCCCAGACCGATCTTTCTGCCTCGCAACTTAAAGCAAAAAATGTCACATTTGTGAGAGACATATGGGGAACACATGTATGACACAGCAGTGCAAATGTGGAGGATGATGACAATTCCTCATATGTTGCAGCGGGGCTGCCCATTGTACCGGAGGGCAGCTTCCCCAACGGCACTCTCCCAAACAAAAGCACGTGGCAAATTATTATGCACAATGACATCATCAGACCTTCATTTGTTTTGGTATTTATGCCTGTGTTTTTCCTACTGTGTCAAAATGACTTAACCGCACATGCTGGCTCACTGTCACAGTGTCATGACTCACTGGGACACTAAAATAGAACAAACACATTGTTAATAATATTAGTTACACCTGTGGTTTTCCTACGATGACAAGTGTCAAAATGTTTGCTGTGAGCAAGTCCTCTTAGCAACGACACGCCTAAAAGCAACAGAGCGGTCATTAATGTTATTAGTTACGCTTGTTTTTTCCTGTTAAATGTAATTTATTATTAGTAACAAACTGGTGAGATGTTGAAACATGGCTTTATGTCTGACAAACGAAGCAGTGATGTTACAAAGTGTAATTTAATTTAACTGTCAAAACGAAATCAGTATGTTCGTCACATATTGACCAGTAAACAAGTGGTGGTAACTAACTGTGCAGTTTAATTTTTCCAATCTTTCTGGTAACACTCCAACTTTTAACAGAGGTACATTTAATTCCTATCCCTTAATTATCTTCTGCTAAATCAGGGTCGAAATGTGGGAGCAGCAGGCTAAGCAAGGTTTTACAAGAGTCCTTCTCTCCACCAATATTTTCCCAGTACACAAATACCCCCTAAATGTTCAGATCTGGACAGCAGAAGTCAAAAGCTGCCAGTTGTATTTGACCTCTGACTTGACCTGGATGAGTGAGAATCCTCAAAGAAAGACATCTGGACCACATTTTGGGACAGTTTTCAATCCGTGTTGGAGGGTGTGTGTGTGTAGGTATCAGGACGCTGAATGTGTGCAGATGTGCATATAACTCACCTTTGTGTAGAGCTTCATTGGTCATGCGATTAATGTAACGGGAGCTGCTCTCTGGAACCAACCACTTCATCACTGTGTTCACACAGGACTTCCTGTAGGAACTCCACACGCTCCCACTGAGAATAGAGATAAAGACTGACACCTTTAACACAACAGAAATGAGCAGAGCAGAACAAGAAAGAGACAGACAGATAGCATTGTGTGTATCTGTGTGTGTCTATGATGGGGTGGCAGTAGTTCCTCACCTGGTCTGACCCTTGACTTCTGTAAGGTCACCAACACCCACGGTGCAACACACACCTGTGTTTAGGTCCCAGCTCACCTGCAGGTTGGAATGATATGTGTTTGGCCTGGGAAAAAAAATGAGAAGCAGACTTAGCGGGAGCAGATGCAGAGCTGAAGAAGGCTTTGGGTTATTTAGGTACTGCAAGTACCTGCAGTGCTCCTCATCTGAGTTGGAGAAGGCCAGCAGCAGAAGACCAATGTTGATCATCACAGTGTTGGTTTCAGGACACACCTGGCACAGATGACACACACATTATCTCCAGGTCACATGCAAAACAGTCTTCCTCCCTTCCTTTTTTAAGCTCAAAAACACCAGAGTTAAAAATCAACTTACTGTAGAAAATACAGTATGTGAGATGAGGTAGGAAATAATGCATACAGCTGAAAATGTACCCATATACTCAGAACATTCCTCTGGTGCTCTCAGTGTCATCTAGAACATTTTCCTAATTTACTGTCCGTGGAGCAGCTCTAGTCTTTATACCCTATGACATCACCAATTTGAGTTTTAGCACTTCAACTTTTTAGAGTTGATCATGTTTACTAATATTTTGGACTGTCTAGACCACAGGAGTAATGTCTACAAATTTTGAAAATGGGCGTAGCTCCTCTTTAATAACAGTATAATGTGCTGCTCAAATTACAAAACTCACTGCCCCTCGGATGGTGGGAAAGGGAAGGGGAAAAGAAAAGCACATGGGGCCAAGAAAAAAGAAGAAGTCACCAAATGAAAGACTAAGGACACCGATGCAGCTCAAAGGGATGACAAAAGACTAGAGAGGAGGAAAAAATTACAGTGATGTATATAGTTCAGAGAAACCTGAGGAGAGTGACGAAAAGCAATCTGAGGTGAGAAAAGAACACGACAGCTGTAAGTACAGTTCAAAGCCAAAAATCCTCCCTATATGAAGCATTTAAGGGGGGATTCCCCCATTTTGAGTTTTAACGCACTGAGTCAACAAATGTGTACTGGAGAATTCAGGTGATTTT